TACACAAAATGGATTCTGGATGTCATCAAATACAACATTGCTGTAAGTGACTTTAGAGGGTGGGTTAAAGCAGAGTTTAAAATTTGGCTCTGGAAGAAGGAAGAGGAGGAGAACTGACTTTGTCGTATTTGTAACCTTAGATTTGTTAACTACCTCTTCTGAATTTATTAACTCATCAATGACAAAAAGGTGTTGCATTCTACTTTGTACAATGTGCTGTGAAGATTAAGAATAACAGAACTACCCAGCTGGTGTGGCTCAGTGGTTGAGTGTCAATCCATGTACCAAGAGGTCGCCAGTTTGATTCCCAGTCAGGGCACATGCCCAGGTGGGGGACATGCAGGAGGAGGCCAATTGATGTTCTCTGTCATCAATGTCTCTACCTCTTTCTTTCTCCCCTCCTCTCTCTCTAAAATCAATAAAAAGAAAAAAAATATTTAAAAAAGGAGACTAGAACTACCATTTGACCCAGTGATCCCACTTCTAGGAATATATCCTAAGAAGCCTGAAACATCAATCAGAAAGAATATATGCACTCCTGCCCTGGCCAGTTTGGCTCAGCGGTTAGAGCGTTGGCCTGCGGTCCGGAGAGACCCGGGTTCGGTTCCCGCTAAGGGCACGTACTTCGGTTGCAGTTTGTCCCCGGCCCTGGTTGGTCGTGCGGGTGGCAGCCACTCGATGTGTCCCTTCACGTCGATGTTTCTCTCTCTCTCTCCCTTCCTCTCTCTCCCTCCCACTCTATCTGTACAAAAAATGGAAAAATATCCTCGGGTGAGGATGATAAAAAAAAAAAAAAAAAAAAAAGAATATATGCACTCCTATGTTCATAGCAGCACCATTTATTATTGCTAAGATCTAGAAATAGCCCAACTGTCCATCAATAGATGAGTGGATAAAAAAGTTGTGGTACATTTACACAATAGAATACTATGCAGCTGTATGAAAGAAAGATATCTTATCCTTTGAGACAATATGGAGGGACCTGGACAGTATTATGCTAAGCCAAATAAGCCAATCAGAGAAAGACAAATATCACATGACCTCACTTATTTGTGGAATATAATGTACAAAATAAGCAAATAAACAAAATAGATCCAGAGACATAGAAGTAAGGTTCAGACTGACAAACCTCAGAGGAGGGGGGTGGAGGGAGAGGGAAGAGATAAACCACAGAACTTACATGCATACATGCATAACCAATGGACATAGACAATAATGCTGGGGGGGATCAGAATGAGGATATCAATGAGGAAAAAAGAAGACATATTTGTAACAAAAATTAATTAATTAATAAAAAAATAAAAGATTAAGAATAATATACATAGAATACCTGGCACATAGCAGGTGCTCAATGCATGGCAATATCTTTTAATGTTTTTATACACTCTGCTATAACTGCTCAAAGATAAAGTATGTATAATGTATATATATGGAACGATGACTATTTAACAGTATGAGATGGATAGTTCTTGCAGCCTGTAGCCTCTAGCATACAGCAACCTAATTCCCTAGCAGTATTCTCCAGCAGGGAAATGTCAGTTTGGAAAACTTCCATTTCAATACACCCATACGCTCTTTTGGTAGCTGTTCAGAATGATACTGAGCATATCAAGTAAACCTTAACATAGTATGTAAATCTTGCCTTGAAAACAAAGGAATAACAACCCTTGTACAAGAGGCTCATCAGATCAAATATAAGTCAAGAACCTAACCAAAGCTGAGGGAGAGAGAAAGAATTGGTCCAGAGAACCACACGAATGTCAGAAGCAAAACTTATCTGTGGTTGCTATTAAATCTATCAGGGATATTCTACCATCTCCAGTATTGACTTGAACCAAGGGGCCTTAAGAGAAAATAAATCAGTTTTGTAAATGCAGCCAATCTAACCCTCTTCCACTTACACAACAGCAGATGCAAGGTTCAGGGAAAGTAAAGAAAGAGAGGAAAGACAAAATTCCTCTAATAACTATCCCATCCCACTGGGGAACTTGAGGAAACAGAAATATCCCCAACTCTCAGATACTCTGTGCCTTAGCCCTTTCCCTCCGCATTTCATTATCATGTTGTATAATCTATAGAAGCTGCTACACCACAATTCTCTGTGGCAGTGCCTTGCATTATGACTCACTATTCTGTTTATCATATTTGCCCAGTAATGTTTCAAGCTCTTTGCCCACTTCTGCTATTGACTTCAGTCAACTCAAGTCCTCAGAGGCAGCTTTCTGAGAGAAGTTACTGTAAAAAGGTCCGGAAAGCAAGGTTATTACCAGAAGCCCATAAAATAAAGATTTCATACGTCTAATGAATAGACCCAATACATTCTGCCACCTAGTTTAGAAAAGGCATAAAGGAAAAGTAAGTCACAGAGGTGGGCCGATTTGGAGTTAGATTCCATGCAAAATTTCAAAGAATGAGTATTTCTTTGATAGAAAACAAGAACCTAGATGTTTTCATCTTTTTTTTAATTTAATTTTATTTTTTATCCTCACCCGAGGACATTTTTCCATTTTTTGTTCAGATAGAGTGGAAGGGAGAGAGAGAGTGAGGGGGGGGGGGACATCGATGTAAAAGGGACACATCGAGGGGCTGCCACCTGCATGACCAACCAGGGTCAGGGACAAACTGCCACCGAGGTACATGCCCTTAGCGGAAACCGAAACCGGGACTCTCTGGACCGCAGGCCGACGCTCTAACCGCTGAGCCAAACCGGCCAGGGCTCATCTTTTCTTTAAATAGGAAGTTATAAAATTTGGGAACTCTATGTTCTCCCCAACTGCTTTAGAGTAGTAAGTATCTCTCTAAATTTCCCCAAGGGATATTAATATAGTTAATATTTATTATTTTTGTTGTTGTTAATCCTCACCCAAGGATATTTTTCCATTGATTTTTAGATAGGGTGGAAGGGAAGGAGGGGGAGAGAAAGAGAAACATCAATGTGAGAGAGATACATCGATTAGTTGCCTCCCTCATGACCCTGACTAGGGCTGGGGATCAAACCTGCAACCCAGGTACATGCTCTTGATCGGAAATTGAACCCAAGACCCAGTTAGAGTGGGCTGATGCTCTAACTGTTCTAAATTCAATATAGTTAAATTTTTTTTAATCAAATGATCTCACTTATTTGTGGAATATAATGAACAAAATAAGGTGATGAACAAAATAGACCCAGAGACATAGAAGTAGGGTTCAGACAAACAAACTTCAGAGGAGGGTGTGGGGAGGAGGGAAGAGACAGGCCAAAGAACTCATGCATATAAGCATAACCAATGGACACAGACAATAATGCTGGGGGAGGGGGGTGGGAGGAGGGTGTCAATGGGAAAAAAATAAAAATATCTGTAACAAAAATAAATTAATTAAATTTAAAAAAATTAAAAAGACTGAGCTCCCAGATCAGCAGTGGCCACTGTGCTTAGAAGACACTCAGCATCGGGGCCAGTGGCTTTAGAAACATAAACCACAGTGGCTAATACCCCAGGGGGGAAGCAATCCCTGTTGGTCTCTTCCTCTCAGAGCTTCAAACCTTTCAGAGATTCTGGAAGGCACCCAAGTAGCTTTGAAATATGTGTCTTTTCTCCTTATGGTTGAATTTTCAATTTTTTTTTTTTTTATCCTCACCTGAGGACACTTTTTCATTCTTTGTTCAGATAGAGCAGGAGAGGGGGAGAGAGAGAGAGAGAGAGAGAGAGAAACATCGATGTGAAAGGGACACATCGAGTGGCTGCCACCCGCACGACCAACCAGGGCCGGGGACAAACTGCAACCGAGGTGCATGCCCTTAGCGGGAACCGAACCCGGGTCTCTCTGGCCCGCAGGCCGACACTCTAACCGCTGAGCCAAACCGGCCAGGGCTATGGTTGAATTTTTAATAAGCTATTCTCTATGACTTGATTCTACCCACAAAGAATACAGAAAGCAACATTAATACACAAAAATAAGCATGAAATTAGCACTGAAAACCTAACTAGGACTTCTTATTTTCTTTGTATATGTTATTTACTTAAGTTAGAATCTGATTGATTTTTGTACCAGGTTACCTCAGGATGCCTGCTCCTGGTATTACCCAGAGATGCTCTAGGGGTAGTAAAGAGCTCTCCCCCAGGACACTGCTGGGTGGACAGAAAGGATCTGAGAGCCCTGGAGGAAGTGGAGCCCACCAGCTTAACTCTGAGAGGAACTTAAGATCACACACACACACACACACACACACACACACACACATACATACAGTTTCCTTCCTTTATTCTCAACTTTCTGTAACTGCTGCTTCTTCACACACCCCCACCCACCCACCCCAATTGTTTCCTAGCCTGGATTCCAAGGAATAAAGAAAGATGATCAAAAAGTGGCCTCTCTGTTCCCAAGCTCTCTCTCTTCTTCTCACCTCCAAGCCCCACAGGCTCTCAGTAGGATCTGCTGCCTCCTTGTTGTTGGACCCGTATGTTTCTGTATCTAATGAGTCTTTTAGTTTGACCTGTATTTCAGGTCTAATTTATCTCTGTAATATACTCAACATCCTTCCACCTCCAACACACAACATAACACACATACATACCCATGCAAACATCTAAATCTCTATTAACTGAGGGTTGTTGGGTCAGGAGTATGGAAGGTGGAGGAAGAAGACAGGGGTAGAGAAAGAGAAAAGAAGGGAAAGAAAGAGGAGAGAGCCCTGGCCGGTTTGGCTCAGTGGTTAGAGCGTCGGCCTGCGGGCCAGAGAGACCCGGGTTCGGTTCCCGCTAAGGGCATGCACCTCGGTGGCAGTTTGTTCCCGGCCCTGGTCGGTCGTGCGGGTGACAGCCACTCGATGTGTCCCTTCACATCAATGTTTCTCTCTCTCTCTCTGTTCCTCTCTCTCCCTCCCACTCTACCTGAACAAAAAATGAAAAAATGTCCTCGGGTGAGGATTAAAAAAAAAGAAAAGAAAAGAAAAAGGAGAGAGAGGGATGTTCCTTTTCTTCCTCAAAAGAGGATACATGATACATCTAAACAGCATTCACCATTTCCTGGTTGTCTGTAAATATAAGGAGCTGTGAGTCTTTGGCTAAGCAGGATTGCAGACTAGAATTCCAGTCCTTCTCCACCGAGAAGTAATAACAGTGATCACCATACCGCGTCCGAAGTCTGGACAGCTAGGACAGCTGGCACAAGCGGAGTAACTGGAACCTAGAAAGGAAGCAGACCTGGTTCACACCTTTATGGACTGCTTCATCTTGGAAATGGAGTGGGAGATCGTGAAATATGGCAGTCCCAGGGTCTTCCCCACCCCACCGCCTTTCAATGGAGGTTTAGAGAAATGCACAGGAATGCATGGCCTCAAGCTGAGTACTTCACTGTGTCCAGCTCTATCACTATCACTGTGCATTCCACAAGCAAGGATGTGACTGTGACTGAAGGAGCAGGGAAGGGAATGGGAACAATCTGGCTGAGGACTGTAGAGAGAGCTAGTTACTTTTACTAGAGATCTTTATGCACATGTGAAAAACACATCAGATAAAATAACTGTATTTGCATGACATGTGTCAGTGTGCTGCCTATATAGGCTCATGTACAGACTGTGTAACTGTATAATGTACATTGCTTTAACAGGGCAGAGTCTTTCAGAATGCCCAACCTGACACTCCATAATAGCACAAAAGAAAAGGACAGCAATTAGAAAGAGCAAACTTAACTAAACTAAAATGTTGTTTCATTTTTATCACAAACATGATTGTCTATTGTCACTGGAAACTGGACAAAAGACATTTTAGCAAAATGAATTTACTTTAGATATTAAAAAAAGATTTTCTGACAGAGAAGGTTATCAGATACTAAAGTGAAAAGTGACACTCCTCACTGAGCCCTTTTAAATATAGAACATTCTCATTCCTTTAAAATGGTTAGATTATAGTTCTGTGAAAATGAAAAGGATCTAAATAAACTTTCAAGGTAATTTCAACCAATATTCCACAATTTCATTAATTTTCTACTTCCATGAAACATATTTGTATAAACTCACCATAGCACATTGGGCAAGTACAAGCCATTATATGAAGTGAGTACATGTGTAGATATATAAGTGAAAAATTAATTATGTATTGTGGACAAAAAAAGATGTGTTCTATGGAAAGTAACCTCACAGGGTGATCTGATCATAAATGTCTAACTGGGCAGGTCACGGTGGGTAGTCATGTCCCAGGCCTATAACTTCTTCAGTGAAAGATTTCAAAGCAAGCCCTGTCCCTTGTTCTCGTACATGGAGGTTAGCATACCTTCAAAACACTAAAAACAATACCCCTGAAAGTTGTAACCACCCTCAAGAGAGCACTAATAGTAACAATCCTATAATCCAATCTTCACCTTGCTCCCACCTTCACATAATCTTTCTTAATTTCAAATTCATTAAAGAAACTGCAAAAACTGTTATTCTCTGAAGCATCTGAGATCTTGCTTCCTGGCAACTGTCACTTTTGGTTCAAATAAACTCATAAAAAGTCGCTAGAGGTTTGGACGTTTCTTATGTGGACAATTATCCATTCCAGATTTAGGAATTAAAAAGTGGAGAAAGTAGTCCTTTTCAATGTAAAGATTGACAACTTTTCCATGGGAAGCCCTGGCAAGGGACCAATACAGGGTTCTCTAGAGATCGAGCTTTTTCTTTTTTTCTTATAGATCTGTGCTTTTTTTTCTTTTCATACAGCTGTGACATTTCCCATACCCAGCCTGAATGAGAAATTCCCAAGTTCCCTAGGAGTCTCTTTCTGTGAAAGGTAGGACTTGGATCAGAGGTATAGTTATCATAGGGCTTAACCCTTAGAGTCCTAGTGAATAGTCAATAAAACATGTCACTAACAACCATCCCCAGATAACATAAATCTAAATTAGGACGCTAGATTGTAAAACAGTAAACCAAGGGTCCTCTGGATTACCATGTCTAAGGACCTAGAAGGACTAAATCTAGAAAAATTCACTTTATAAAATGCGAAAGCTCTATAATTAAAAAAAAAAAAAAAAAGCCAGACTATGTTTAATTAAATTATGATGTATCTATTACATGAAAAGTTAAACAATTAATATTATAATTTGTTTATCATGATAAACATGATAGTAGGTAGAAAAATGTTTATGCCACAATATAGAATTAAAAAGCAATATACAAAAAATTATAAGCATACTTTAGAACTACACCCAGCCTTACTTTAAAAAAAAAGGGTGGGAGATTTTAGATAACTTGATGGAAATTCTGTTAAGAGGATAAATACGCGGATGCATGTAGTCAAAGACTAGGAGGCTGTATAACCAGGAGACGTTGCTTACAAGTGGTGACTTATTTCATTGAAAGTATTTATTATTTTTCAATTTTCCTGTTATGTTATATTGCTTTTATAACACAAAATGGATAAGTGAAAGCTTAATTTTGGTTTAAATTTACACTTACTCCGGCATACAATCCATTTGAACAGCAGCATACTCACAAGAATGGTACTCAGAAACCCAAAAGCTGTTGCCATCTGGCAAGACAGAGAGAGCCTGGAGGAAGAAGCTGCAAGAACAGAATCCAAAGCAAAATCCTGAGTCAGAATAAAAGCTGAAGGAAACGAAAAGGTCAGGGAAGGGTATCTGGGATCTTGAAGCAGTTGGGTCTAGGAGGAATTGAGACCCAGGCCCTAAAGATTTCTTTCTTTCTTGAATCCATCAAGAACCTGTTCTGAAGTATAGGGTAACCATCTTTATCAAGTTACATGATATATTTATCAAGTTAAGATACTTTTTTCCTTTTATATTGTGACTAACCCAGGCTCATGCTTTAGTGAGCACGTAAATTGGTACAACCTCTTTGGAGGACAATTTGACAATGTCTACCAAAATTGCAAAGGCATTTACCCTTTGGCTCAGCAATTTCTCTCTCTGAGAAATTTTTTGTACAGATACATGTGCAAAATGTCATATTTATATTTTTATTTCTGTTAGATTTTCCCCTTGATTGACCTATAGATATCATTTACAACTTCTGGAATGAAAGAACATTCCATTTCCAGAAACTCAAAGTGTTTACAGAGGCTATTCTGTGTACACATCATGCTCAAAGAAAACACACCTCAGTGATATTCAGCATAGTTGGGAACCAGCTTCATTTAGTAAATTCTAAATACACAATTTGCTTTCTAAGGATGTCCTTTAAAAAAATAGTTTGTGTGGCACCTTGTAGACGCAATGCCAGTCTCTGTTGCTCCAACCACGTGTGCTTTGTCACATTCTCTGATGGTCTAGAGCACGCATCAGATAACTAGACTCAACTGTGACAGTGAGCCCTTCACAGACTGCCTTCCTGGGGAAGATGCTGCTTGCTTTTAATTTTGAAAATTTCTCCATATTGGGTCATGAGTGCATTTTTTTACATGTTGGATCACAGAGCCAGGCCCTGTGATTCAAAATATAAAAAATTATATTGAGATGTAATTCTTATATATATATCTACTTCTTTACATACTTGAGAATTCTGAGATTAGATGAAACCTGTTTTTCCTGTCACTCCTTTATTTTTCCTAACTCTGTTGACCCATGAACTGAGAGGTCCCAGTTCCATTCCCAGTCAGGGCACCTGCCTGGGTTGTGGGCTCGACCCCCAAAAGGGGCCATGAGGGAGGCAGCCATTTAATGTTTCTCACATCAATGTTTCTAGCTCTCTCTCTCCCTTCTCTCTCTAAAAATCAATAAAAACATACTTTTTAAAAATCACCCCAACTAGATAAAAGTACATTGTCAATAGAGACTACACATTTTAATTCTTCTAGCCCTACAGTGCCTAATTCATTGTTCATGCTATAATAGATGCTCAATAAGTACATGTTAATCCATTGAGGAGTGCTTATTTTCATGCATGTTTCTGACTATGCTTCTGAAAATGTCATATTTATAAGGCAACACTATTCATATTTACAAGGCAACAATATTCACAGGAAGAAAAGATTGAACTCAGTTTCAAAGTCTATCAATAAGAGATCAAAGACATTTTGATATATCCATAAAATAAATATGCAGCTTCTAACAAAGAAATAAAGATATGCTTTTTTTATGGATATAAGGTGGTTGCCAAGATATATAGTTAAGAGCAAGAAACATTCTGCAGAACATGTTTGCTAATAAATCTGAAAGTAGGCACAAGAATCTGATCATGTTTGTCTCTGGGGAGAGAAAATATGTCACTAAGTACAGAGATAGGAGGAAGATTTTTTTTATCTTCTTTTGTACCTTTTGAATTTTGAACTGTGTGATGTATTACCTATTCAAAACTTAAATAAATACAATTTAAATAAAAATAAAATAACATACATCTCAAAAGTGCTTTGTAAACTGTTGTTACTGGAAGAGTAATGAGTTCAGGTTGATATCATTTTTTAAGGATAGGACACTACTTCATATTCACTGTGTTATATGCAACCTATATCTAAGAATGTTTTGTTTTGTTTTGTTTTTTCACTTGGAAAATGAAAGAAATTTCATACTAGACTTTTACTTTAAAAGGGTCATGGTCTCATAATCTAATAGTATAGGAGTTATGAGTGAAGAACAAATATCTGTAAAGTAAGATACTTATGCTCGAGTTTTGACTACTTTATTTGGTAATCTATAATTTGGAAATTGGAGGATTAATTCTGCCTACTTGTGCCTCACTTACATATTTAAATTTATTTCTTAAGAAAAAGAAATTCATAGTGAAATGAGAGAGTTCTACATGATAAATATTTGAACAAATAAATCCAAAAACATTAGATTTCTAGTGACATAAAAAATAAATTTGCACTATAGAATATTTAATGAAATAAATATTGATTTTAGATGTTATGCTATCTGAAAAAAAAGGTGTCAAACATAACTGTATTTGTATAAGCACAATCCCATTTCAAAATTAGGTTAAACTTTTTTATTTACTTTTAAAATATACATACTAAGCCCGGTCAATATGGTTCAGTGGCTGAACATCAAACCATACACCAGGAGGTCGCCGGTCTGATTTCTGGCCAGGGCACATGCATAGATTGTGGGCAAAATCCCCAGTGGGGGGCATGCAGGAGGCAGCCAATCGATGTTCTCTCTCATTGATGTTTCTCTCTCTCCTTCTCCCTTCCTCTCTCTCTAAAATCAATAAAGAAAACAAAGTTTTTAATATACATATTAAGAGCCAGTTGGTGAAATACATATAGTCGAGTCAGCATAGAGAGGCAAAAATATATCAAAATAGTAATAGTGATGATTGCCATATTATAAAATTATTAGTGATTTTTATTTTCTTACCTCTGCTCTCATAGTTTCTCTATTTTCTATAACGGACATGGACTACTTTCATTAAAAGATGTTTAATGTGACCTGGCTGGTGTGACTCAGTGGTTGAGCATCGACCCATGTACCAAGAGGTCACCAGTTCAATCCTCAGTCAGGACACATGCCCAGGTTGTGGGCCCAATCCCCAGTGGGGGGCATGCAGGAGGCAGCCAATTGATGTTCTCTCTCATCAATGTTTCTATCTCTCTCTCCCTTTCCTTTCCTCTCTCTCTAAGAATCAATAAAAAATAAATAAAAAGATGTTTAATGTCATTTTCAATATTCTAATCTACTTTCCTATTCCCAAGTAGAGCACCTTGGAAAGCTGAGTAAGAATGAACATACTGGCAATAAATAAGAATGTGCAATGTGTGTTGTATATAAGTGAGAAACAAATTGCCTAGAAATCAAATAACTACTCAAGTTTCAACTTATCACTAGTTGTGTGACCTTGCACTTATACTTTAAATTGCACTTTTTTTTTTACTTAAAATTTCTAGTCTTTAAAAATTAGCACAGACATATCCAAAAGGAAGAAAAATAGATACCTATAAAAATGTCCATGCTGTATAATTTATGGTAATAGAAAGAAATCTAAATGTCCATAAATACCAGAATAATTTAGCAAATTATAACAATGCTTTCAAAGGACAACATTAAAATTGTAAAAATAAAACTATATGACAAAAAAGAAAAGGAGAAAGTTTATGGAGTTACACTAAAGAACATATGGGAACTTATTAAGATAGAAAATAAAATATTAATTTTGGTACTTACATTATTATCTGCCTGCCTCAGAAAGTGTTTTCTTGGGGCTCTATGTAAAAATGGTTTCTTTTACTTTACATCCCCAAAGAGTCACAGGGACTACCTACCTGTGATGTTCTTGATGCCCTTGTCCTGCTCCAGTCACTATTCTTGTGTAACACTGGGAGGATGGGGCATGGGGTGGGGAGGCAGATATGTAAATCAGTTTCTTTTCTGCCAAAATCTTACTATTACCCATTAGCAAAAGTATGGGTGTACTTCTCATTAAACAGAAGGACATATAAAACAGTTACCTCCCACCCACCTTGCACTTCAGATTAGCTGAGAGTCCATCTGCACTTTATAAACCAGATGCATAGATTTGCTTGCCATGCTTCCTTAATAAATGTGCATGCTTTGATTTTTTTAAATAAATTCACTTAACACCACACAAATATTACCTAAAGTCTTTCATTTACATTCATTTATATGAGAAGACAAGAATCAAGGTGGGGACAGCCCTCTCCCTCTGACTCGGGGGCTGTCCGATAACACCACTCTGGTGTCTGTGATAGATGCCTGTCACAGTGAATGGTTAAAAAAGAATTAACCTGAGATCTAAGATCAGATCCTTGACCATATACCAAATTTTCACATTCCAGTTCTGGACTTCAAACTGAACCTCATGTATGTCCTCATATTACTGTCAATTTCTCTGCATCCTCTACTCCAAACTTATCTACTTCCCACTAATCCTATGGTGACTATGCACGGTTTCCCAGACTAACTTGGTTAAATCACCCTTTTGCTGTGGCCGGTAGTTCTCCGGGGCTCAAAGTGCAGTAGACAATTCTAATTCAGAATAAATAGCATTGTCAATCATCTCCATCTGGTATCTCTCACTTCAGCTGAGGCAGTAAATTACAGAAGTGTGAGGAGACATGCGCCAGTGAGGAGGAAACAGCCCTCTTCACAGTAAGCCTGTAAACTGTGAGCAGGAAACTTCAAGGTTTGTTGTTGTTTTTTTTGAAAAAAAAGTCCAGATGACAAGAACAACAGTAATCTTTTAAGAAATGACTTAAATTCTGGGGCTGACTAAAGAAATTAATATTCTAAACTGTGACTATTTTTCCTTCACCACACTCTCTCTAGATGCTTATTAAATATACAGAGTGGAGCAAAAGTAGGTTTACAGTTGTGGGTACATGAGACAGAGTTTATTCTTATATTATTACTTATTATTGCATTATTTTCCATACAAACAACTGTAAACCTACTTTTACTCCATCCTGCATATTAAATTTATTACCCATCTTACCTAATTCTATGGAGCAACAAAATGTTGCTCTTTCAATTATGGAAATTGGAATAAAAATGAGAGTGGTTCCTAGCTATGAATTTATCTCAGATTTTTTTTTTCCTTTTGAGATAATACATGCATGTCAAATGAGACTGATTTCGTTGTTTCTTGGAACTTTTGAGTGGTTACATGTGATACAGAAATGGACTGTTGGCTGAAATCATGGGGAAAATGGACTATTGCCCAATTGTGTTTTGTGAGTATTCTGTGCCCCAGTGTTCCCCAAATCATTCTCCCAACTGTGCTCTAATCTTAATCCTTCAGTGTCAGAAATTCCATTAAATTTCTCTCCTGTTCTCTTATTTTATATGCAAAGACAACTATAAAAGAGAACACATTGCCCTGGCCATTTGGCTCAGCGGTTATAGCGTCGGCCCGCAGACAAGAGAGTCCTAAGTTCAGTTCCCCCTAGAAGGACACGTACCTCGGTTGCAGTTTGTCCCCAGTCCCAGTTGGGGTTGTGTGGGTGGCAGCCACTCAATTTGTTTCTCTCACATCGATGTTTCTCTCTCTCTTCCTCCCTCTCTCTCTCCTGCTCTATCTGAATATGAATGCAAAAATGTCCTCAGGTGAAGATTAAAAAAAAGAGAGAAACATTAAACAATATATACCAAAATGATTTACTTTTAATAGGTGATTAGTTAATAAAAAATTGACATTAGAAAAATAGAAAGGGAATTGAAACTCTAAGAATAGATAAGGTCACCAAGATAGGATGTATAAAGATAGAAAAGAGGAGTAACAGGGAGAGCATATTAGTAAAAATGACTATAGTTCTCTTTCCAGCCATGACAGAATGGTACTAAACTTGACCTCCAGCCAAAACACATGAGGCAACTGTTTTCAGGCACAGAGTAGAGGCAGCACTGTGATCCTTAAGAGGACAGAATGCAAAAGTGAGCACTATGGTCCCCCTAGAATTCTACCAAGGTCATGCAGAAAAATGAATCGTAAACAGAGGAGTGGTCTCACTAAGCTGAGGAGGCAGAGATCCAAGTTTTGAACTGTTTATATGGCTGGAATTTGAAGAACAGGGTAACTAACAACAGAGAGCTGCACAGAGGGAGGTGTCCAGAAGACTGAATAATGTTCAACATAGGTCCTTGGCTAAGAGCTAGGTTCAACAGAGGACATGATTCTGCATGTCCCAGCTAAGATGGCCTCCTGAGGGGCCGACAGCAAAATAAGTGAGACCAGAGGTGCTAAGCAGCATAAACAAAGAAACAAAACAAAGTTGGGCAACCCAGAAAGATCCACCAGTAATTTAGCTGCCTATAAGAACAAATTTTGATGCCTTTAAAAGGAAGACAACAGCCAGGCTGGTGTGGCTCAGTAGTTGAGCATCGACCCATGCACCAAGAGGTCACCAGTTCAATTCCCGGTCAGGGCACAGCCCAGGTTGTGGGCCCAGTCCCCAGTGGGAAGCATGCAGGAGGCGGCCAGTTGATGTTCTCTCTCTCTCTTCCTTTCTCTCTCGCTCTAAAATCAATAAAGAAAAAAAAAATTAAAGAAAAACAAAACCACAATGAAATATACCTCACGCCCATCAGAATGACTATTAGCAAAAAGAAAAGAAATAAGTGTTAGCAAGAATGTGGGCAAAGGGAAACCCTTGAGCACTGTGGGTGGGGTTGTAAATTGGTGCAACCACTATGGAAAACAGTATGGAGATTCCTCTAAAAATTGAAACTAGAACTACATATGACCCAGCAATCCCACTTCTAGGTATTAATCAGAAGAAAACTTAATACACTAATTCAAAAAAATATGTGCACCCCTATGTATTAAAGGATTATTTACAAGAATCAAGATATGGAAATAACCTAGGTATCCATATATATAAAATCTTTCCATTTGCAAATTCATGGATGGACCTAGAGAGTATTGTGCAAAGTTAAAGTCAAAGACAAACATCCTATTATTTCTCTCATATGAATCTTTAAAAAAAAGAGTAAACATATTTTGTATGCTACTACATATTTTTTTCTTTTGACTGCCTTTAAGATGTTCTCTTTATCACTTTTTTCTAGTAGCTTAATGATAATGTATATTGGTGTTCTTTTCTTCATGTTTCTCTTGATGTTTATTGAGCATCTTTGATCTGTGGATTTCTATTTTCATCAAATCTAGAAAAATTTTGGAAAATACATTTTCTGTCCTCTTTCTGATAATTATAAATAAGTTATATTGTTTGATATTGTGCCCTAGATAACAGAAGTTCTAGGGTTTCTTGGGGAAAAGTGGGTTGTCTTTTTTCTCTGTGTTTATTTTGGATATTTTCTAATAATATGTCTTCAAGTTAACTATCTTTCCTTCTGCGGTTTCTCATCTACTGTTGATTCCATCCAGTATATCTTCATTGTATCATTTCAGTATTGCACTTCTCATTTAAAACCATGATTTGTGTTATATTCAAATCAGCTTGCATTTTTCTCTTCATCATATTCAATTTTCCTCTACCTTCAGAATATATGAAGTATATTTATAATAGCTGTTTTAACATCCTTTATGTAAATTTTCTCATCTTTGACATTTCTGGGTCATTTGTAAAATAAATTTTTCATAATAATTTCATTTATAAAAGCATTGAAAAATATAAGTATTTGGGAATAAATGTAACAAACGACATGCAAGACCTCTACATTAAAAACTATAAAACAGCCCTGGCCAGTTTGGCTCAGCGGTTAGAGCGTCGGCCTGCGGTCCTGAGAGACCCGGGTTCGGTTCCCACTAAGGGTACGTACTTGGGTTGCAGTTTGTCCCGGGCCTTGGTTGGTCGTGCGGGTGGCAGCCACTCGATGTGTCCCTTCACGTCGATGTTTCTCTCTCTCTCTCCTTCCTCTCTCTCCCTCCCACTCTATCTGTACAAAAAATGGAAAATATCCTCGGGTGAGGATAAAAAAAAAAAAAAAACAACTATAAAACATTGCTGAAAGAATTAGATAAGATCTAAATAAAGGGTTGTATCCTGTCCATGGACTATAAACTTCAACACTGTTTAAATGTCAATTTTCCCCAAATTTATTTTAGATTTACATTAATCCCCATTACAATTGCAGCAAGATCTTTTAATAGAAATTTACAGGCTGATTCTAAAATATACATGAAAATGCAGTGGAACTAGAATAGCCAAAACAATCTTAAAAAACAAAGAAAGACATACTACCTTACTTTAAGACTTAACATAAAACTAGAGGAATCAAGACAGTGTGTTGTTGGCATAATAATTAACAAAGAGATCAGTGGAATAGAATTAAGTCCAGAAATAAAACCACATTTACACAGTCAATTGATTTTCAACAAAGTTTCAAACAATTGAAAGGAGAAAGAGAAGTCCACAAATGTTACTGTAAGAACTAAGGGTTTTAAGGATGGAGATTTTAGGGGCGGTTCCAAGGGAAGATCTCAATAGACTATCCAGCAGGTTTCCAGGTGTGTCTTTCAGGATCAGGGTCTCCCACTGACTGACTGGTCAGTGCAAGGGCAGGGGGTCATTATCAAATGCAGCTGGACCTGAGGTCAGCTATGAGGTCATATGTCTGGCTTTGCTGCTTTTCTGGACCTGAAGCTGAAATACAATTGAGGCCTAGATGTTATCTCTAGGGAGGAAAGGTCAGGGGGCCAAATCGTATGACCAGCAATATGCTAGGGGAGAAAAATGTCATCCTGGGGATGAGGTTCCACCCTATAATTGTCCTTTGCTAGGCACCTGGGGCTTTCCACCTTGGTGACCTTCTGTACCTGGCCCATCATCCTTGCTCGTCTTGTGTCTGTTCAACTGCCTACCACAGAGATAACAGTTGCATTTTGTAGTTGCTATATAACTTCCATATAACTTTGAGTTCTCTTTTACCCCTTTTAGTAACTGATTACTTTTTACTAGAATACAATTCTTTATATTAAATTTTTCCTTATAATCACTAGTGTGTATGTATCTCTTTTCTGATTGAATCCTGACTGATACAAAACACATCATTTAGCCCGGCTGGTGTGGCTCAGTGGTTGAACATCGACCCATGCACCAAGAGTTGCCAGTTCGAATCCTGGTCAGGGCACATGCCAGGATATAGGCCAGATCCCAGTGGGGGCCATGCAGGAGGCAGCCAATCAATGTTCATTCTCAATGATGTTTCTATCTCTCTCCCTTCCTCTCTCTAAAATCAATAAAGAAAAAAATATCAAAAAGAAAAAACTTGCATTAAAAAATAAAAACACATCACTTATCTCTTAGTCCTATCAAAAAATGCATCACATATATGCTAAATATAATCACAAAGAAACATCAGATAAACCCCAAAAGACAGCCCTGGCCGGTTTGGCTCAGCGGTTAGAGCGTCGGCCTGCGGTCCAGAGACCGGGGTTCGGTTCCCGCTAAGGGCACGTACTTCGGTTGCAGTTTGTCCCCGGCCCTGGTTGGTCGTGCGGGTGGCAGCCACTCGATGTGTCCCTTTCGCATCGATGTTTCTCTCTCCCTTCCTCTCTCTCCCTCCCACTCTACCTGAATAAAAAATGGAAAAAAAAAA